TTGAGACATTGTCAAGCTAGCAATGGGATGCGAGGCAAGAACAGTGTATTATTGTGACAAAAGGGGAACTGAATTTGAGGTGGGATAAAAAAATTAAATGAACCTCCTAGGCATTTGCTGAATAGAAAATCTGGTCATTCAAAGGAGGAGGAGGAGGAGGAGGAGGAAGAGGAGAAAGAGGGGGGGAAGAGAGGGAGGAAGAAGGGGAGGAGTGGGAGGAGGAGGGAGAAAGAAAAGAAAAAAAGAAAAAGAAAAAGGTCTGTGGGGAAAACTCCCCACAAATTCATGCCTCACCTTGGAAAGAGAAATTCGCTGCATGATATCTGTCATGTTGCACCGATTGTCTGGCAAAGAAAAATATCAACTAAATCAACAGACTGTCTCCATGATAAAACTCTATGGTTCCAAACTACCTTACAAACTTTGCAGAACTGATATATTTGAAGACATGTTTTCTTTGATCATGACAAGAAGTTTTGGCCATGTTTTCATCTCTATAATACTTCTCTCTGTACTATAGGCAGAGTCCTTCTTGCTTCCTTTTTATATAAAAAAAATCATGGTTATTTTGATGTGGTATACATTTTTAAACATCAAAGGCATGGTTATGAAAATAACATCTTAAATATTTATAGATGTATTTTGGCATAAGCTTTCCTAGCATCAAGTCAAGCACTATCTGCAATTGCAGGTAGACTCATGGACAGATAAACTTCTATAAAAAGAAACAAGGCAACAATGAAAACATCACTTTGCACCACTTAAAAACAAAGCAGAGAAATAAAAACAGGGCATTAACTTAATTCAAAGCAGATGAGATCCATGAAATGAAAAGAATGTACAATATGGTTTAAATGACCTGAAAAAAAAAAAAGAATCTCTGCTGGTTGGAAAATTGTTTAGGGAAGGCATTCCAAGGCAGGGAAGGGCTACTCTTGAAGAGACACTTTCATTGCCACCTCCATTGACAGATGGGCTATGGAGTACTTTTAGAAGATGGTGACCTTAGAAATTGGGTGAAAAAACCAGCAAAGGTGTCTGCAACATTGGAGGCTTTCTCAAAATGATGAAAGCAGTATCACACTATTGTGACATAAGTTCCAGCCCTCTTGCACATGCATGCAATGTGCAACGGGAGCCTCTATCTCACAAAAATGGGCGACTGATAGTGGTTTCTCTGAGGAGACATGGATTGGGTATGTTGAATCTGGTTGGAGAAGACGGTCCTGAAAGTATCTTGGTGCCAAGCCATATAGAGCTTTATACATCAAATCCAGCACCTTTAATTACACCAGGAAGCTCATATGAAATCAATGTAGGGCTCAAAGCACCAATGTAACATGTTCATGCATGCCACAAACTATCTTCAAAGGCAGTGCCATGGAATAGTCAAATCTAGTAGTGATGAGAGACGAGACACTGTTGCATCGTGGCTCCCTACACCCCCACTAAGTACTAATTTATGTCAAAGAAGACCTGCTCTCTATTACTTCTAAATAGTCCTATCTTACTTGTACATGTTCTTGGGATAATCTGATCTTCTAAAAAATTCTTTCATCTTCATTTTATGTTATTTTCTTCTATTTGTTGATATTCTTGACTGAGGTATATTTCCGTGTCTTTTCTTGCTTAAAATTGAAAGTTTGCTTTCAGTTGTCATATCCCATTCAGTTGGCCTAAGATTTTCATCTTCTGTCTTTCCCTTGCTTGATATCATGATACCACTTGGATGTTTTTGCAGTTTTTAAAAAATTATGTTTTCACAACATCTTATGTTTCTTTGGATTACCTTTCACGTAAGTTACCAACACTGAATGTGTTTCATCTTGTATTCAATCTTATATTCTGACCTTGATCCTCCTGGTCAAATCTTGCATATGTGCACTCTTTACTTTTATAACTTTAACTTATATATTTGATATCATTACCTCATGGTCTCCTTCACAATCTCCAGCCAAAATTGTTTGGCTGACCAGATAGCAACTGCCCTCCTTATGTTTCCCGTTATGCACTCTGTTTGATTCTGATGTTGACCTCTGGGTAATATACAGCTGTAGAAGATATGTTTAAATTGCTTGAAGCAGGTATCGACAACAAAAACCCTTTTTGTAAATTTCTACTAACCCATCTCCTGCATTATTGCATTTTCCCAACCTCACTGTTTTTCCAGGTTCCTCCTTGTCTCTGGTTTTTTGTATTGCAACCACCCATTCGTATGCATTTCTAGATGTTGCATCTACTACTTCTTGCAGCTTTCCACAGAATTCTTAATGCTTTCCACCATTATGTCTTAAGCAGGGCATAACTTGTATATACTTGTATAAAATTGATATCCACTCATTCTAATAGATGCATTCCTTTCATTTATTGGGTTATACTTGAGCACATACCTTGCTGGGTAATTTTTGAGTACTGTAGCCACTCCATTCCTTTGTATGGTTTCATGTCCTGAATAATCACATCTCATATAATTGTGTTTTAATGTAGTCAATTCACAACCACTTATATTCAATTATCCCTAAAACATCCAATTCAATATGCGAAATTTCCTCTTTAATAACCAAGTTTTCCTTGGTTCATGTTACTCACATTCCATGTTCCTAATGAAAAATAAGTCATTCTCTTTCAATAAAGGTACTATCTACTACCTGGCCTTCTTACAGATTTAATCTTGTCAGATCACCATCTCCAGATCTACTTCTTTAAGTTTAGTATTTTCCCCCATGAACTAGAGAAATCCCTTCTGACCTAGACAAGTTCCATCATGTGGCATCCAAACTGATCTAAATAACATTAATTTCAAGGGCACTGTGATGTATTTGGGAATGGCAGAAGTAAGGGTAGAGATGCTTGTCTGTTAGACTATTTTTTTATCTTAGGCCATTCACATAGACTCTAAAGGCTCCATGTATGTTGGGCAAATGTTACTGGTGTTTCTTTCTAGCACATCTATTACTGCATACATAGACTTCTTTTTCTGGAAATTGGATATATGCATTACCTCCTAGCCCCTTCAACACCAAGTGATAGGGGCAGATAAATTATATAAATCAGGTCCAAAGGTATCCAAGTCCCACATGTAGTGGAAGAACTACATAAAGTGCTGTGCAATTTTTGTCTCATTTACCAGGGCAGGAGTGCTTGAGATCCTTTAAACTAAGGATGCAAGGCGTGCATCCCATAGTACCTCTTGTTATCCCAGGAGTCAGCAGAGCCCCAAGCTGGCACTTTTTAAATTTGGTAAGTTTGGAAGATTTTAAGGAGCAAAATATGTGCTCCTGAATAGGTTTCTAAATAGATTTTACCTATTAAGAACCCTGAAACTTCCACCCCAAAAATAGAGTACTGGTCCCACCGACATTTGAAATACCACCCTCAGCATAAGTTCAGTGCAGTCTTCAGGCTGCCAGACACTGAACATCCCACTTCAACCTGATGGATTTCTCCAAGGCTGTGAATCTGAAGCTGGAACATCACTGATGTCAATGAATGGGGAGAAAGGAGCTGAAATATTTGGAGAGCACTAAGCTGGGGAAGGCTGGCCTATACATGTACTGATTTTTGCATCACAGCTTCTGTGCCTTCTCATAACACTAAATAAAGCAATTTCTCTCCCATTATTTTCAGACCATCCCTTTTCTTTTTGCATTATAAATTAGAGATCAACTCCTGTTTTCTTACCAGCCTTCTGAACAATCTATAAGGGTGATAGGATGAAGTTCTGCAGATCTTCTGTGACCAGATGAACTGTAACACTTTAAAATAGCTAAGATGGAATGTAAAATTCTTAGAGAAAGCAATTTAAGAATTCCTCATGCTAGTGGATACCTCTCACAACATCAAGTGGAACTGAAATCAGCAGAATTAGAATTGTATTGCACCATCTCATGGTTACCTATTTATGCCGCCCTAGATAAAGAGCCACTAGGATACCTTTGAGCAGAGGTTGTGACACTGGCTGTTCTGGCATTGTTGCAGTATTGCTTGAATGGGCTTTACTAGGCCCCAAGGGTGAAGCAGGACTGTTTCCAAGGTAGCAGAACTTTCCATCCTTTATGACACATTGGAACTTCCATGCATTCCAAACTCTGTGTTTTCCTCCTCAAGGGAAACATGCAGAGTGCCTACTATTTTCTTCAAAACTTAGGACAAATCCTTTGATCAGCATGCCAGGAATAAGAGTTTCTTCTTGGGCAAGCATCAATTTCACCCAGTGCAAGCAATGATGTGGACATTTATTTATGAACTCCCTGTTCAGAGGATAGCTGTTGTTTGGGACAGTGAACAGCAGAAGTACCTTATTTTACCTGTAAAAGGAGCAACAGGGAGAAAGGTTCATTAAGCTTCCAATGTCAGCCCATTGCTCTCATACTGGCTCCAATATCACTGTGTGCTAAGCTGTCACTGTGTGCTGTTGTTCCTTCTTTGGGAGAAAAGCTGCAGTACATATTTGGAGTGTCTAGTGTAGTGTCCCTCCCCCAAAACACTGACAATGGAGATAAAAGAACTGAGCCAAATCATTCTGATTAAAAGGTGGAAAAATCAACCACAACCCTCCTCTCTCTCCTTCTGTTATTGGCCTAACATTTCCAACCAGTCAATCTTCTGTCCATGGAAGAAACAGAAGGGAATGGTGGGCTTCTTTGGGAGAAAAGCTGCAGTACATATTTGGAGTGTCTAGTGTAGTGTCCCTCCCCCAAAACACTGACAATGGAGATAAAAGAACTGAGCCAAATCATTCTGATTAAAAGGTGGAAAAATCAACCACAACCCTCCTCTCTCTCCTTCTGTTATTGGCCTAACATTTCCAACCAGTCAATCTTCTGTCCATGGAAGAAACAGAAGGGAATGGTGGGCTGGTTAGTTCTGAACAGCTGGATGAAACGGAGGCTTCCTCAACATCAGAAACCATCATCAAAAGACACTGACTCTGTGCAGAAAAAATGCAGAACTTTATGAAGTGACTGGTTGGCAAATGGATCAATTGGCCTGAGTCAGAAACTGTCTAGGATTAGACAGAATCCCTTTGAATATATTTATGTATATGTTTTAAAATGTTGAAATTGAGCTGCTCCTAGCTAAATGCAGAATTTGAGACAAATCATTATACTACTCAGATAATCACTTTTAACATTTCTTATCAAATGCAGTCTAAGATTCTGAGTCACAGAAGTGAAAAATAGCACTACACTAAGGAATAGTATATGATTTTCTTCATTCTGGATTTTATTTCAAAAATTATTCATTTATACAATAGTTCATATATATAGCCTCCTCCTAGGATTTTAGGCAGTTCACAATAAAGTAAAAACCATAAACAACCACAATAAGATAAAACCCATCATGTAACCCCTAAATTACATCAGATTTCCTCCCTGGACCGTCTGCTTCCAACTAAGTTGCGCCTTTAACCTTGAAGACCTGTTAGAAAAGTGTGGTCATGACTACTTTCTTAAAGGACAGCAGGGAAGGGGCCATCCTCATCTCAAGAGCAGGCTATTCAACAGTGAAGAGGACACCACCAAGCAGATCTGCTTCCTGTCTCCCTTCCTCTTGTCTTCATAGCCTGCACGAAGTGGATAGACAGACTCTACCTGGGTCAGACAACCTCAAAGATATCAAGGAACCAAGCCATACAGGGCCTGAGAGATCATAACCATACCTTCAGGTATACTTGAGAGCCTTATAGGAACCTATGCAGCTTATAAAAGTTTCATATTATTTTACTGTACTCTCAGGTCCTGGACTGGAGAGCAGGTGGACAGCTGTATTCCAGACCAGTTGTAGCCTCCAAATTATCTTTAAGGGCAGCCAAATGTAGAATGAATTTCAATTATCTAAGCACAAACTGGGAAGGGCATGAGTTACTCTACCAGAATATATCTGGCATGTAGTCTAGTGAAATTACATGTTCCCCAAATCAGTCAATTCTGGTATCAAATAAATATTCTTTGGGTAATAAATCCTTTTGCACACTTCCTTAAGCTTCACCATCATCCATATATTTCAGACTGTTTATTCAGTCTGGGGAAAGACTATAAACATAGTTTACTTGGGAAGTTAATTTCATTGTAGAATTGACATTTTATTTTGCACTTTATGACTATTTCAACAGTAATGTAGGATCTTTCTATTTATTTCTATTTACTTCTTTGTTTATTTACTGTATTTGTATGCCACCCATTCCTGAAGACTCTTGGCAGATAACAAGTACAACATAAAACCCTCCAAATATATCTAAAAAGAAAAAGTCAAGAAACATATATAATTAGATATATGAAATCCCATACACAACCAAAAAATGCAAAAGTCAATCTCTCTCTCACACACTAATATAAATTAAATGTAAAATCCTTTTTAGCATAGTAGAGGAAGGCCAAATCAACAGCTGAGTTTTTTTCTTCCCTAAATATAAAACTCTGCTGACACTAAAGCGATTACAATCTACTTCCTCCTTAATCCAGCTAATGCTCATGGGGGAAACCCTCAGGCCTGGGATTTAAGCATCCACTCAATTAATTAAGAACAAACCCCTGACTTAAACCAAAAACACCCAGTAAGGAAGCTGATTTCCTTTTTCTTCTCTTCCTGTCTTCAAGAGTACTCCCTAAATTCCTATGCTAACAAAACAGATTTCTTTTTTGTTTCTAAAATCCTTTGCGTAGCACCAGATCATTCTGAAGTCAAAAGCAGCAATGAATTGAGCTCATGCTAAAATTAAGACCATGATTGGGTTTGGGTACTGAAACAGCAGTCTTCAAAAGAGGAGCTGTTTGGAGGCAATCAGAGGTAAATGTGTGGTGACAGTGAACAGAAATGTGTTGTATTTGGGCACAAATGATTGTTTAACATCAGCTTTCCTATTCTCTGTCTCTGTCACTTCCCTCAACTAGTAGGAATCCATGTTAGGAGAAACTTTGCCAAGAAAATGGATATAACCTTGAAAATAAATCAGTGAAGTTACTCATTTCAATAAGCGTGCTGACTTTACATTTAAATGTACCCTGAGTATTTCTTTGCACAGATGAAGATCTAGTCTTTTGTTCTTTTTATTATAACATTGTTTCTGTCATTGCATTGGTGAAAATGAAGACAATATTTGCTTTTTCTGTGTTCATTATTTACAAAGTTCTGTTGATGTTTCACTCATTGAGTGAAGACAATTCAATTCATTAGACGGGTTTTAAAAATCTTACTATCACATTTTTAATAAGTGTTTTTCCAGATGACAGATTTTCCAAAAGGTAATTTTACATGTCGAAAGAAGAAAAAAAGGAAGCAACATCCTTATTCTGAGCTATGAGACCATACAATGTGTGTAATCTACAGAATGATCTCTATTTGTCTCCTAACTACATGTGTGGACTTCACTTCATGCTGGGGGGTGAACTCCAGAGACCTTAAAATTCCTAAGGCTGAGAAACCTTGTTCTACAGCAAGGTTCT